CTTTGAACTCAGCCTCCTCCCGTGGGAGAGACTCACAGCAGGCCCTGTGCCAGGCACATACCTGTAAATAAGTGAGCAAGGACAGATGAAACGGTGACAGATGTCTATGTAGAGGTTCAAAGAACAGGCTTTGGGATCAAACACACCTGAATTCAAGTCTCAGCTGGGCCCCTTTCTGGTGATTTTGGACAACTCAATTATCCATCTCAGCCTGCATTTTTGCTTCCCTCAAGTGAGGACAGGGCACCTTGAGAGAGTCACTGGTGTGAAGAAATGAGACCGTGCGTTATCATCATGGACAAATAGCCAGTGTCCCTTGATGGTACAGCAGGACAGGACAGCCTAGGACAGGGCTCCTAGGACAGGGCTCCGGGAGGAGGCAGCAGGCCTGCTCCCACCCAGTTTGTACCAAGGAGGAGTGACTTAGGATGACAGCTCCCCTCTGGCAGAGTTCTCATCTCCTCAAGCTCAGGCCGAGGCTAGCATAGCTGTTTACATATAAAAGCACCCCAAAGAGGCACAAAATTTGGGGGTGGGCACTGAGAGGAAGGAAAGATTGGGTGTTTGCAACCCAGATGCCCTCAGGGCAGCCCTTTGGGACCACCATTTCCATTTATATCCAGTTAGAACAGCCCAGTCCCCCCTATTCCACATCCTCGGGAAGTCCACACCCTTCTCTGTTGCTGCCTGACTCTCCCAGGGTGCACACCCTCAGGATCACCTCTCAACCTGAATTCTCTGGCTGCCGTTCTCTCTTGACTCCGCCAAGTATCATCACTTTTCTCCCTTTGTTCCTAAAACACCACGAATTAAGGCTGCGTGTAAAGGACACTTTCAGTGAATGCATCGGGGGTGTTCTGGGGCTGAGCATGCACAGAGCAGGGAGTAAACCTGAGTCTGGGTATTCGGTGGGCACATCACTGTGTTGCGACTTTCCTCCTACAGTCCTACTGGAAGTTCTCACTGGTGAGGTTTTCTTCTCCTCCAGCTGCTGTCTTTCACTTTACTACCCCTCTTCCTTTTTCTCTAGAGTTAGCACAATAGAGCCCAAAATTCCCACCAATTTCTTATTCTGCAAATTTAACTCTCTGCCCCCTTCTTACCGAGGCCATGCCCAAAGGCTCACCAAGTTGTTCATAATCACAAAAGAGCTAGAGGTTTCTGGAAGGAACGTAACACTGACTTTCTATTTTTAAATTAGCCTCTCTCCCCTGTTACATATAGTTGGGGGATAAGAAAAGTTGGGGTCAGATCTTGAATCACAAAGAAAGTTCCAACAGGTTGAGAAGCTGGAGGGTTCTGTGCCTGGGGAAGCAAGGGACCAAAGCCCTGTGGCAGAAAGGGGATTGGGTTTGGGAATAGCGAGGGGAGTGTCCTGGGGGGAAGAGATCCCAGGAAGGGGAAGATGATAGGCATAAAGGCCTTTTGTTCCAGCATCCAGAGAGGAGTCTTGGTCCAAAGGATCACATGGAGCCACAAAAGGATTTTAAGCAGGGAAAGAATAAAAGCAAATGTGAGCTTCAGAAAAAGCGCCGAGCGAGGACATTGGACCATTTGTCAACTCTCAGCAAACTTAAAACATTGACAAAGGCTTGGGGAAATACGGTGCTCTGACACACTGCTGGAGCAATTGAACAAGTGGGACGTTTGGAGAGGAATTTGGCAAGGCTGGGGAAGTAAGTGATAGGGAGATGGAGGATCCGGGGCCTAGAGTTACCTATTCCAGGCTGTCCGACTGGGTGGAGATCTGGGGAAAATGGGGAGACAGGCACAGGCTCACGAGAGCCACTTCTCCTCCTGACTCACTGTTCAGTGACATCATGTTAGCAGCTTAAAATTGGCCGTGGTGGAGTATTTGCACCCCAAAAGCTGCAAATGCTACAAAACAGGGCTCCCTCTTGCCCCCAGAGATAGTTTAACAGTACCCTTACTCCCTGAGCCAGGTTTCATCCAGCATCCCCTTACATTCCCCGAGCAATAGCTGCAGAGAGATCAAATACAGGCTTTTCCAAGCCAGGGCTTTGGCCTTATATCCTGAGAAAAGCCTAGGCCTGCTGACCTAGGCTGGACCTCAAGGAGCCTACTGGACTCTTTAGCCAAAGAATGGGCATACCTGAGAGGCCTCCTTTCCCCTAAGTCTCTTCTAGTTCCCCTTGATATTCTAAAGAAGCAAAGGCCTGGGGAAGGCACCTCTTCCCAGGCTTGGATGCAAGAGCAGACGGAGAATGAAGATTCATGGATAACTTTCAGGTTCCAGGCTTAGATGCCCAGGAACCTAGGGTGCGATGCAGAACATAGGAAGAGAAAAATCCGCAAGGGTGTGTGGGAGTTAGTGATCTGGGGACTTGGCGAAGTGCCTCTGGAACAACAGAGACCTCCACTCAAGGAAATGCAAATTGGAAGTTCAAGAGAGTGGTACCATCTTGGGAGTTACTGGTCTACGGATGGAACTGAAGCCATGAGATCACTTGGGGAATATGAAGGGCAAAGCAAGGACACCTGGGAAGCGAGAAAGAAAGAAACTGGGAGGGAATGTTCCAGGAGGCAGGAGGAAACCAAGAGAATGTGATACATTGTAGAAGCCAAGGAAGGAGGAGAAATATCAAATGTTGCAGAAAGGTTGACCTTGATAAAGATTGAGATGAGAGACACAATGAGGTTACTGTGGCTGGTTGAGAGTGAAGACAGTGGTAGGAGGTCAGATTTAAAGAAGTAGGGGCCACCCCACGCAAGACCTTGTATCCCCAGGCAGGGCCTCCTGTGCCCTGGGAAGTATTTGGATGTTATTCTAAGTGCAGTAGGAAATCATTAGCGGGTTTTAAGCAGAGGAGGAAAGAAGTCTGATTTGCATTTTAAAACAGCTCGCTCTGGGGACACCTGGGTGGCTCAGTACTTAAGCATCAACCTTTGGCTCAGGGCGTGATTTGGGGGAGGGGGGGGTCCTGTGATGGAGCCTCGCATCAGGTTCCCCCTGGAGGAGCCTGCTTCTCCCTCTGCCTGTGTCTCTGCCCCTCTCTCTGGGTCTCTCATGGATAAATAAATAAAATCCTAAAAACAACAACAACAACAACCCAGCTCATTCTGTCCTGTGGAGGCATGGAGGAGAGATGCCCCCCCCCCACGTTCCCCACCCTCACCCCTTATCCCCTACCCCCACCCCAAGAGTGCAGGCAGGTAGGAAGATACTGCATTAGCCCAGACTTGATCTAGATGGTGGGACGTGGAAAAAAGTGTTTAGATTCGGGGTACATTTTGAAAGAATATCGAATAGGACTTCCTAGTGAATTGAATGTAGAAAGATAGGAATCAAGGAGTACTGAGGTTTCAGGTTTGATCAAGTGAGTAGACGGTGGTGCCATTTACAGAGTGGGTAAGACTAGAGGAAAAAGAAACAAAATCACAGGCTTCGGGGTCGGAACAAGAATCAAGTCTCATTTTGGCCATCTTAAGTATAAGACGCCCATTAGACATGCAAGTGGAGATGCCAAGTAGGCAGTTGGGGATTTAAATCTGGAGCCCAGGGGAAGCCACAGCTGGAGATAATAATTTTGAAGTCATCAGCGTATACATAGCGTCAAAGCATTGGGAGTGTGTGAACATTAAAGATGCACTAGACCCGGAGTTTGGGAGGCCCTGGATTGGGAATTGGGGGAGGCCTCCGAAGTGATCCCCATTGGCCAGAGGAAGCTGGTCCTTGTAACCTGAGAGCTGGACAGGAATCAGGACAAGCCTGGCCTCGGGAATGTCTGCAGAGAAATGGTTTCGGAGAAACTAAGACCTCACAGGAGGGCAGGAGGATTCCCACTTACTCCCTCCTCCGAGCCCCCAGTCTCTCTGTAAGCAGCATTCATTCAGGAGGAGGAGAGCAAGGTTGCCGTTGAGGCCGCTTAGCCTGTAGAGCCAGCAAAGGTAGCACCAGCTGAGGCCAGAGGGGCTAAATGGGGGAGTTCATGTGGCATGTGCTCCCCTCTATCCCTGCAGGAGTCAAAGCTCCTGACCCGGGGCACAAAGCCACCTGTAGTTCCAGCACTCCCAGGAGGCGGCCTGGGCCTCAGACAAGGGATCACCCCCACTCGATTGCTACTAATGTGAAGAAGATGAGCACAGCTGAGCCCCTGAGACCAGTCTTCGCAGACTTACACGTGTGTTCGAATCATCTGGGCGTTTGGTCAAGGGCAGATTCTGTTTTAGTAGGTCTGGGGTGGGGCCCACGATTCTGCATTCCTAACACACGCCCGGGGAAGGCTGCTGCTGCCCATCCACTGTCCACACTTTGAGTGAGCAAAGGACCAGAGGCAGCTCCGGAGGCTACCCACCGGGATGGTGCACATCCGGTTCCGGGGAGAACGTGTTTGTGCACCAAGTTATCAAACGCATTAAACTAGAAGTAGCACCATCTTGTCATGGTTGTGAGGCCCTCGTTTCTCGAAGGACTACACCTTCCAGCGGCTAAGGCGTCGCTGGTGAGCACTTGGGTTCTGAAGCTAGACCTCCTGCGCTTTACCTGTCAGTAGGTCTGTGATCTTGGGCAAATCTTTCAACTTCTCTGCATCTCAGTTTCCTCGTCTCCATAATGGAAATACGACTAGTGTGAGGATGAGCTGAGGCAATAAAGTCCTGGACACAGAGCAGCATAGTAAATGCTCAGTAAATGTTGCTCTTCTTGTGGATACTACACTCTTCTGGAATAGTTGACAGAGACGCACCCAGAGACTCCGTCTCCTTCTGGGACATGGTCAGAAATGTAACCCCCATCTCCCTCCGGCACTCAAAGGCCTATATCTTCTCTTTCGAATTCCTCCTACGCTCCTGCCCACTCCCACTCCCCCTCCCCTGGCCCCTGGCCCCATTGTGGTCTGGACGGGCCCCACAGGGGCAGGGACAGGGACAGGACGTGGGGCTGTATCTGACAGGAACCTGAGGGGCTGGCCTGGGAGGGGATTGGGGCCCGGCTTCCTGAGGGGAGGATGGGCTGAGGCAGGCATACAGTGCCGGAGAAGATGCCCTCCTGGGCCCTCTTGGTGGTCACCTCCTGCCTCCTCCTGGCCCCCCAAAACCTGGCACAAGTCACCAGCCAAGGTGAGGTGTATGGAGGGTGGAGATCACCTATACCCAGGAAGAGGGAGCCCTGGGAGGGGTGCAAGGTTGGAGGTGCCCACCAGTCCCTTATTCTTGCCCATAAACATGCCTGAGAGGACCAGAGCCCAACTCCCAGCTGTTCCTCAGGTGCCTCCTTGCTGGCCTCGGATTCAGAGCCTCTGAACTGTTTCTCTCGAACATTTGAGGACCTCACTTGCTTCTGGGATGAGGAAGAGGCAGCGCCCAATGGAACATACCAGCTGCTGTATGCTTACCCAGAGTACGTGCTGGGCTGTGCCACAGGCCCCTGGATCCACCCTGCATTTACCCCGGCTCCTGTAGCTCCCCCGCCTCTGGCCCTATCAGAGGACCACATGCCCTCAGTAGCCACTGAACAGATGTGCTTTGGCTAGCCCCAGCCCCAGCCCCCCATGCCCCCCAACCCCACCTGTCCCAGGCACTGAGTAGAAAAGTGGCAGTAATGGAAATAGAAGTTGGGCTTGGGCCCAGACCTGGGTCGCTGGAGCCTGTCAAGGCGGCCATGGAGGCAGAGCAGACTCCTCCTACGCCCACAGGGAGAAGCCCCGCGCCTGCCCTCTGAGCTCCCAGAGCGTGCTCCCCTTTGGAACCCGATACGTGTGTCAGTTTCCAGCCCAGGAGGAAGTTCGCCTCTTCTTCCCCCTGCACCTGTGGGTGAAGAACGTGTTTCTGAACCAGACTTTGACCCAGCGGGTACTCTATGTGGACAGTGTGGGTAAGGGCCACCCTCCTGTCACCCTGGCCCCTCTCTCTGCTGCCCTCAGTCCAGCTCCTAGGATCAGCCTGGTTTGTGCCCTTTGAGGGCAATGCGGATGCCCTTCATTAGCAGACCGCCAGAGCTCCTTCGGGACCCCCGTATCATTCTTGGCAATCTGAGCTGGACTTCATTTCATAACAGAGACAACCTGTGCCCCATCCCCCATCATTAACGCGTTCGTTTCCTCATTCAACGGTTACAGAACACCTACTGTGCTAGGTGACAAGGACACAGAGATGAGGGCACTGAGGCTAACAAACCTGCAGTGGGGTCACTGTTCTGATGAAGAAAGGAGAACAGGCCAAGGAACCTCCTTGCCCTGGCCTCCAAGAGAGCAATGGCCTGTGATCTAGAATCCACGGGCTGTCCCAGCCAGCTTCCAGCTCCCCTCCCTACAGTCCATGGGTTGAACTATCAACTGTGGCACTCAGAGAGTTCTCACGTACCCTGTCTTGCCCCTCAGGCCTGCCAGCTCCCCCAGATATCATTAAGGCTTCGGGCGGGAGCCAGCCAGGGGAACTTCAGATCAGCTGGGAGGCCCCAGTTCCCGAAATCAGTGATTTCCTGAGGCATGAACTTCGCTATGGCCCCAAGGATCCCAGGAGTTCCATTGGTCCCACAGTCATGCAGCTGCTGCCCAAAGAAACCTGCTGTCTAGTTCTGCAGAGACTGAACCCAGACCCAGCTCTGCACCAGCCTCCATGTGCTCAGCCCATGATGCCCCAACAGGACGGACCAGAGCAGACCTTCCCAACTAGAGAAGTATCCTAGCCTTCTTCTACCCCACCTTCTACATCCTTCCCCAGATTTTGCCCCAAGAAAGGGAAGGCCATACTTTGGGGATTCCAGACTGGGCTGGTGCTTGGGGAGTTAGTATGGGCTTGGGAGCCATATCGATTTAGGAATCTCCCACATTGGGTTGTTCACACCAACAGAATTGAGTGTTTCAGGCCTTTGAGTTAATGGTGATTTCCCTAGAAAGCTCTGAACACCACCTGAAACCCACTCACCTGGCCCCTAGTCTGTGTGCATATCTATCCAGTGAGGAAATGGGCATCTCTCCACAGGTATGCTGTGGGGCTTCAAATATAAGAGATGGAGGCTGTCTCAGTTGAGGCAGACCTAGATTCTGAGGCTGGGATTCTTCTCCCAAGGCTTCATCTCTAACAGTGAGGAGCGGAAGTTGTCTCATCTCGGGGCTCCAGCCGGGTAAATCCTACTGGCTCCAGCTGCGCAGCCAACCTGATGGGGTCTCCCTCCATGGCTCCTGGGGATCCTGGTCCCTCCCTGCAACCGTGGACCTGCCTGGAGATGCAGGTGAGTCAACACAAGAGTGGGAAGATGGGGAGGCGATAGAAAAGATCTCTAGGAGGTGTGGATTGGATATGGAAGCTCTAGGAACTGTGGTGCTTCCTGATGACTTCAAAGTTGCCACTGGACAGAGTGAACTATATTCGGGGAAAGAACAAAGAAGGGGGGTAAATATTCCCAGTTATGTGGCTAAAGATGATCTGGAGAGTGGGAATGTGTTGGCCCTAATGGGACTTCCTTCTGTTAACTCAGTGGAAATCGGACTGCAGTGCTTTACCTTGAACCTGAAGAATGTTACCTGTCAGTGGCAGCAACGGGACCACGCTAGCTCCCGAGGCTTCTTCTATCACAGCAGGGCACGGTGCTGCCCCGGACACAGGTGAGAGCTGAACTGCTGATTGGGATGTCATGGGAGAGAGGCACGATCACGCAGAAGGGGAGAGATTGCTCTTGGTCCTCTTCACTCCCCTCCCTTGTCCCCAGACCAACTGGCCTCCATGCTCTCATCCTCCAATAGGTATTTTACCTTCTCAGCCTCTCTCCATCCCCATTGGCCTGGGTTTAGCCCAGATTTAATCATAGCACCTGAACCACTGCAACAACCTACATTCTCATTCACCTGCAGTTTATCCCTCATGCTGCTGACAGAGTGACCTTTGTTAAACTTTGAATGGCCTTCCCATACTCAAATGCATACTGAACCCCTCCACCAGCAAATCCAATTAAGATTTCACCTTCAAGAATTACCACCAAGCACCTCACTGATCTGTCACTCCCCCCACACCCAATCTAAAACCAAGTTTGTGTTTTTCAGATTTTTATTTAAATTCTAGATAGTTAACCTATAGTGTACTATTGGGTTCAGAAGTAGAATTTAGTGATTCGTCACTTACAACACCCAGTGTTCATCACAATACCCTCCTTGATGTTCATCACCCATCTAGCTCATCCCCTGCCAACCTCCCTCCATCAACCCTTAGTTTGTACTCTCTCATTAAGAGATTCATATGGTTTGTTTCCCTCTCTTTTTCTTCCCATATGTTCATCTGTTTTATTTCTTAAATTCCACATGAGTGAAATCATATGGTATTTGTCTTTCTCTGACTTACTTATTTCACTTAGCATAATACACTCTAGCTCCATCTATGTCATTGCCAATGGCAAGATTTTGTTCTTTCTGATGGCTGATATATATATATATATATATATATATATATATATATATATATATATCCCACATCTTCTTTATCCATTCATCAGTCAATGGACATTTGAGTTCTTTCCATAGTTTTGCTACTATTGATAATGCGGCTATGAACATCGGGTACATGTACCCCTTCGAATCTGTATTTTTGTATCCTTTGGGTAAATACCTAGTAGTGCAATTGCTGGGTCATAGGGTGGTTCTATTTTTAGCTTTTCAAGGAACCTCCATACTGTTTTCTAGAGTGGCTGCACCAGTTTGCATTCCTGCCAACAGCGTGAGGGTTCCCCTCTCCCCCGAATCCTCACCAACACCTGTTGTTTCTTGTGTTGATAATTTTAGTCATTCTGACAGGTGTGAGATGGTAGCTCATTGTGGTGTTTTTTTTTTTCTCATTGTGGTTTTGATTTGTATTTCCCTGATGATGAGTGATTTTGAGCATCTTTTCATGTGCCTGTAAGCCATCTGTATGTCTTCTTTGGGAAAATGTTTATGTCTTCTGTCCATTTCTTAACTGGCCTATTTGCTCTTTGGGTGTTGAATTTGTTAAGTTCTTTATAGATTTTGGATTCTAACCCTTTATCAGATATGTCATTTGCAAATATCTTCTCCCATTTTGGAGGCTGCCTTTTATTTATTTTTTAAGACTTTATTTATTTATTCATGAGACACAGAGAGAGAGGCAGAGACATAGGCAGATGGAGAAGCAGGCTCCCTGTGGGGGGCCGGATGTGGAACTCATCCCAGGATCCCAGGATTCCTTCTGAGGTGAAGGCAGATGCTCAACCACTGAGTCACCCAGCACCCCGCCAATTAGGCTCCCTTTTAGTTTTGTTGATTGTTTCCATCACTGCGCAGAAGCTTTTCATCTTGATAAGTCCCAATAGTTCATTTTTGTTTTTCTTTCCCTGCCTACAGCCACATGTCTAGTAAGAAGTTGCTACAGCCAAAAGGTCAAAGAGGTTGCTGCCTGTGTCCTCCTCTAGGATTTTGATGGAGTACTGTCTGTCATCCATTTTGAATTTATTTTTGTGTGTGGTGTAAGAAAGTTAAAACCAAATCTTGTTGGCTTTACCTACTAAATATCTCCAGAATCTGTCCACTTTTGTTCATCATTGCCATTCCCCTAGTAGGAGCCATCGTGATGTCTCACTTGGGCTACTGAGAAGACTTATTAACTGATCACCTCTTGAATCCTCCAAATCATTCTCCACATAGGAGCCAGAGTTATCTTTTAAAGTGTAAAAATGAACACAACAGTCTCTGCTTAAAAATCTTCAACAACTTCCCACTGATCTTGGAATTTAAAAAAAGAAGAAGAAGAACCCTATTGTGGCCTCATAGAGTACTTAAAACACTCAGCCCCTACGAATGCCTTCAGCTTCCTCTTACACCATGCTGCCTTTTCCTCTCTACAACTCTTTATTTCTTCTACCTGCCACATTGTCTCCCACCTCCAGGTCTTTATACATGCTGTCTACCCAGCCCTCCTGTCTTAACTTCTACTTATCCTTCATATCTCAACTCAAATGTCACCTCCTCAGGGAACTGGCTCCTGGTCTTCTTCATCAGGTCCAAGAGCACCTGATTGTACCACATACCTCTCCTTCCTAAGTACTTATCATAGTTACAATTTTACATTTATACTGTATGTGATTATTTAACCGATAATATCATTCTGTCTCAGGACTCCAGTTGAAAAAGGATGATCTTTTTTTTATTTTTTATTTTTAAGATTTCACTCATTTATTTGAGAGAGAAAGAGAATGAGCGAGAGAGAGAGAGCACAGGTGGGGTGAAGGGCAGAGGGAGCAGCAGGCTCCCCGCTGAGCACGGAGCCCAAAGTGGGGCTCGATCCCAGGACTCCAGGATCATGACCTGAGCCAAAGGCAGACGTTTAACCGACTGAGCCACCCAGGCACCCTGAGAAAAGCTGATCTTGACTATACATGATCCCTAAGGGCAGAGTCAATGTCTGCTTTTACTCATTAATGTATTCTCACCTACCACAGTGCCTGGAACTTAGCAGTTACTCAGCAAAAATTGCTAAATTAATAAATCATGAAGAAACCGCCATTAACAGTTTTAATGTATTCTTGCAGTTTTTCTATGTACTTACACATATCTATACATAACATTTAATTTTCAGTATAAATTGGATCACATTATATATATATGGTTTGCCAACTTACTTTTTTTCCTTAAAAATGTGTCTTGGAGCCCATTGCAAAAAGATGTAACTGATTCTTTTTAATAACTGCACAGATTTCCACAGTCTAGAGGTGTCATGAATGGATTAAAGGGAAGCAAAACTGACATCACCATTTTTTTTACCCAAACCTGCTCCTCTTCCTTTTGTCCTCCATCAACTCAGTTTCCTGGGCCTGAAACATGAAAGTCACCCTGGACTTCTGCTTTTTCCCCACCCTCCAGGTCCAATCAGAAACAGTCTTGTCATCTCTACCTCTTCAGTATCCCTTGAATCCATCTCTTTTCCTCCACCCTCCTTGCCACCACCCTGTTTCTGGTCCTCATCACTTCATACGTGGAGACCATAAAAGTGTCCTATTGGATTTCCCTGCTTCTAGTCTGTCCTCACACATTCTTTCCTATAAAGTGTGGTGACAGTGACCTTCCCAAAGTACAATGCTAATTTTGACAAGTTTCTGTTTAATCCTTAAATTGCTACATATTACTACATTACTACAATCCATAATTACTCCAAGACTAAGTTCAAGCTCCTTAAAAAAGTCATAAGGGGTCAGCCCCGGTGGCTTAGTGGTTTAGTGACACCTTCAGCCCGGGGCGTGATCCTGGAGGCCCGGGATCAAGTCCCATGTCAGGTTCCCTGCATGATGAAGCCTGCTTCTCCCTCTGCCTCTCTCTCTCTCCCTCTCTCTCTAATAAATAAATAAATAAAATCTTAAAAAAAAAAGTCATAAGGCCATCCATGACCTTAGTCTGCCCTCTGCCACTTACCACTCACCACTAGGCCCTCTAAGCTAAGACCATTCTGTACCACTTAGAATTTCCCCCAAAGCACCGTATCTCTTATCTGTGCACAAGCATGTGCCTGGGATGCCTGTTTATCCCCTTTGCCTATCCTATTTATAGTCTAAAACTCAGTCCAAGCACTACCTTGTCCAAGAAGTATTCTCTGACCCTCCGACCCTCCCCATCTGGGTTAGATTGTCCTCCTTGATGGGACGCCTGGGTGCCTCAGTGGTTGAGCATCTGCCTTTGGCTCAGGGCGTGATCCCAGCATCCTGGGACTGAGTCCTGCATCAGGCTTCCTCTGAGGAATCTGCTTCTCCCTCTGCCTATGTCTCTGCCTCTCTCTATGTCTCTCATGAATGAATAAAGTCTTTTTTTTTAAAAAAGTGTTTTTTTTCCTCCTTGATACCCCTCAAACCAGGCTGTACACACCATAGAAAAATACCATCTGTCTGTTTTTCTACCATTCCCACTGGAATGAGAGCTCCTTGATTATTCCTCTATATATTCATAGGGCCTAGCACAGTGCCTGGCACATGGATCAACTATCTGTTGAATAAATAAGTAAATACATAAATTCATTAGTAAATAATTTTAGTAATAGCTAGCCATTTAGGAATTATAATCAGGAAGGAGACATGATTCATTTGTTCAATAAATAATTATTGAGGGTGGCTATGTGCCACACTGTAGAGTGCCAAATAAAACAGAAAAGTTTCCATATTGTTGGGGCTTCCATTGTAGTTGGCGGGAGAGGAAGGGAGGGCTGAAAAAGAAGAGACCACGGAACAGGTTATATGACAGAGACTAAGTGAGAGTATGGGGGATGGGTACTAATTTAGATTGTGTGGTCAGAGAAAGCCTCACCAAGGAGCAGACAGGGAGTGGAGGCCTAAATGGCAAAAAAAGAATGAGTCACATGGAGATCTGGAGTCAGAGCAATCCAGGGCAAGGTGAAGTGCAAACGCGGTGTACGGGGCACATCTGTAGAACAGCAAGGCAGCCCATGTAGATGAAGGGTGGCACACTGGCGTTAAGAATCATAGGAGATGGGGACGCCTGGGTGGCTCAGCACTTGAGTGTCTGCCTTCGGCTCAGTGGGTGATCCCAGGTCCCGGAATCGAGTCCCACATCGGGCTTCCTGCATGGAGCCTGCTTCTCCCTCTGCCTGTGTCTCTGCCTCTCTCTCTCTGTCTCTCATGAATAAATAAAATCTTAAAAAAAAATTATAGGAGATGAACTAGATGTTATACTATATGTTTGCCATTTGAATTAAATTTTTTTTAAAAAGAAGCATTATAGGAGATATGAATGGCCAGGCAGGAAGGAACTAAATCATATGGAGTCCTCTGGGCCCTGGCATGGAGTTTGGCTTTCATTCAAGGGGGAACAGGGAGCCACCGAAGGATTTCAAGCAGAAGAGTGATGTAATATGACTTTCCTTTTAAAAAGGTATGTTTCTCTGTGAAATGATGAAGAAGTAAAGGTAGAAGGAGAGCCTCCAGTTAGACGTTTGCCTTAATCCAGGCCAGAGATCGAGGTGGTTCATTGAATGTGGTAGTGGGAAGGGTTCAAACAAATGGACAGGTTGGTGATATCTTCTGGACATCCTCAAATCAACGTTTTGGAAGCAAATTCAGGTGGCTCTGTGGAGAACAAACTCCACAAGGGAGTGGTGAAAACGAAGGCAGAAGAGCCAGTTGGGAGGCTATTGTAATCATCTAATAGCAGAACATAGAGAGGTGACTAACAGGCCTACTGTACGAGATGAAAAACATGATCTTTCCACCAGAAAGATGAAGGCTCTTTGAAACAATCCTGTGAAGTAAGGATTATTAACCCATTTTACAGATGAGGAAATGGGAGCAGAGATAAATCATTTACCAGAGTAGTACACCAATAAGCCAAGACCTGAACTCTAGGGCCCAGGCTATTTTCATGAATCATTTAGCTCTTTCCTTAAGGGGAAGAGGCTGGACACCAAAGTCAACTTCCGAAAACAAAAACATCATGGCAGGAAGACAGAAAGCTTTGGAAGCTCATCCAGGGGAAGATTTAGATTATAATCCCTACAGGCCATATCCCGTGGGATGGGATTTATCAGGATTAGTATGGAGGTAGGTCTGGTTCAATGACTCCATGGGGATGATTCTTAGGGATCCCATTTGGGAGAAGTGTGAAGAGGAGAAAAATCCAGGATTACAGCCCTCCCAGTTCTCCCGCTGCCACTTCAAGTCACGAAACGACAGCATTATTCACATCCTTGTGGAGGTGACCACAGCCCAGGGTGCTGTTCACAGCTACCTGGGCTCCCCTTTCTGGATCCACCAGGCTGGTAAGAACTTGCTTCCCTTCTCCTCCCACACACTTTCTGCCCCTACCGTCCCTGACCCCATGCCCCAGGATCACCACTTCTGACCCATGGCCCTGGTGGCATGATATCTCATGCACAAAAGGGCTTAGGCCAGTCCCTGCTGGCATCCCCGTAGTGCTCATCCCCACTCCAAACTTGCAATGGAGGGAGGTCTCCAGTGGGCAGCTGGAATTGGAATGGCAACACCCATCATCCTGGGGAGCCCAAGAGACCTGCTATCAGCTCCGATACACAGGAGAAGGCCATCAAGATTGGAAGGTATGACCAAGGAAAAAATGCCCACAGATCTCACTATACAGGGTATTCCTGAGTTTCACTGAATCTGTTATCAAGAGTGAGGGCATCCATGTACCTGTGTCTGGGTTTGTATATCTATGTTTATCTGATTCAGCTGGTATCCTAACCTGTCCTTGGCATTTGACACTGCTGACTACTCCCATTTAAAGTTTTCTGCTCCCTTTGCCTTTGGGATATCAGTCTCCTGATTCTCAACTACTTCTCTGGCTGAACCTCCTCACTCTTTCCTGGCTCCTCCTTTTCCACCCTTCCTGAATATGTTATGCTTCCTATAGCCCCATTCTAGACTCTTTTCTAGATAAATATATATGCTCACCCTATGTAACTGCTTATAGTTTTAATGACTATGCATTAACCATCACAAACTTACCATTCCAACGCCCGTATGGAAAGGAACTTCTATGCCCTAAGTAAATCACCTGAACTTTGGAAGTCTCATTTTTGTCATTGGTGAAATGGAGATACAACTACCTATCTTCCAGAGTTATTAGTAAAAATTAAATGTATAAATATCTAGCATACTGCCTGGCAGATAGAAGGTACTCAATATAACTTAGTTAAATATTACTTTCTCGGGATCCCTGGGTGGCGCATCGGTTTAGCGCCTGCCTTTGGCCCAGGGCGTGATCCTGGAGACCCGGGATCGAATCCCACGTCGGGCTCCCGGTGCATGGAGCCAGCTTCTCCCTCTGCCTATGTCTCTGCCTCTCTCCCTCTCTCTCTCTGTGACTATCATAAATAAATAAAAATTTTAAAAATATTACTTTCTCTACTTTTATTCTCACTAACCGCATGTATTACAACTTCTTACCAGACAGCTCTGCACAAAAGGCCCCTGGGGCATTGCAATCCAGTATATCCAAAACTAAACTCCTGCTCCTCCCCAAGTTTATTTTACCTTTTTTTAAAAAAATATTTTATTTATTTATTCATGAGAGACACAGAGAGACACACAGGCACAGGGAGAAACAGGCTCCACGGAGGAAGCCCAACGTGGGACTCGATCCCAGGTCCCCAGGATCACACCCCAGGCCAAAGGCGGTGCTAAACCGCTGAGCCACCTGGGCTGCTCTATTTTACCTTTTTATAGGGGTATAAGTTACACTCCGTAAAATACATAGATCTTAAATATACGATTGATCAATTGGTACGTGTATACACCCATTTAACCATTGCCCAGATCAAGATATAGGTTATTTCTAGCACCCCAGAAGCTCCTCCTGCCCCTTTCTGCCACACACATACCCCAACGTCACCACTAGTCTCACTGTATCATTGATAAGTTTTGACTGTTGTTGAACTTAATAAAATGGAACCATATAGGATGTCTTCCTCAAACTTACTTGTTCCCTGACAGTGGCACTACCACTTACCCTGGAATCACCCTTGGCTCTTCCTTCTTTTCTGTTGTCCCTTCCCTCCATTTATTAACACGGAAGTTGAGGTTATTGTACTAACAGTCCTCAGATCCCTACTACCGCTGTCCTAGCTCATCTTTGAGCACCCAGCCTCCCCATCCACCCGCTTAGCGGGTTCCTGAACTACTCTGTAACCCCAAGCAAGCAACTCAGGCAGCATGACATGCCTCTTCATGCTCCCATTCTCCCTTACTTACATCACCATTATTGCACTAATTACTCGTAATTATTTACGGGTTTGCATGTCTTCCTCATTAGGCTTGTGAGAAACCATGTTTCATTTATCCTCTGTCCCGATGCCTAGCACAGGGCTTGACATCCCCCGCAGTTATGTTTGCTCGTCTCCCTGCTTGTCCACACGACGCTTGTTCCCTCTGCTTGGAATCTGTCCCTGTATCCTGAGCACCTGGCATCCGCCGCTGGATGCATGTTACTTGTATGTGATGCATGTGAACAGTCTATGTGGCCCTGAGCATCTAAATGTGCCCGGGGTTTCCCGTCGCCTGACCCGGATCCTGGGGAGCACTTCTGGCGGGATGCCCGCGGGACCTGGTCAGTGCTGGGTGCACTTGTGTCAGGAGGAGTAGTTAGTTCTCGGTGCAGGTGAGGTCGGTGTGTCGGGCGCGTTCCTCTCGGGGCTCGGGAGGGCGAGGTGGCTCCGTCTCGCAAGTTTCCGCCGGGATGCATGTATTTTGCCTGGGCGGCCCTTTGGGGGGGCGGGGATCCCCGGAGATTCAGGGCGGTAGGACTTTGGCCCAAAGATGCCAGGCTGCCGAGGCCCCGCCGCCCGAGCCTGCCCATCGCCTCGCTCCCCCCCTCCCACCCCCCACGCCCCACCCCCGCGCAGGTGCTGGAGCCGCCTCTCGGGGCCCAGGGAGATACCCTGGAGCTGCGCCCGCGCTCCCGCTACCGCTTACAGCTGCGCGCCAGGCTCCACGGCCCCACCTACCAAGGCCCCTGGAGCGCCTGGTCAGACCCGGTGAGGGTGGACACCACCTCCGAGACCGGTGAGGGCCGCGCGGGGCGCCGGGCGCTCTGCGGCTGCGCGAGGGGCGGGGCCTGGGACTGGGGGCGGGACCTGCGGGCCTGGGCTGGGCTGGGGCGGGGTCTGAGGGGCCGGGGTCGGGGGCCTGTGATGCCGGGGGCGGGGTCTGAGGGGCCGGGGGCGGGGCCTGAGGGACTGGGGCGGGGTCTGATGGGCCGGGGGCGGGGCCTGAGGGGCCGGGGGCGGGGCTCCGGCCCAGGGCCGCAGAGATCTGACTGGTTTTGTCCCTTAGCCTGGATCACCTTGGTGACCGCTCTGCTCGTGGTGCTGGGCGTCAGCGCCCTCCTGGGCCTGCTGCTGCTGAGGTGGCAGTTCCCTGCGCTCTACAGGTACCGCCCCGGTCACTCAGGGGACGGGGGTGGGAGGCCTCTAAACGAGCATCGCAGGGTTACACTCTGCCAAGGACCAAGGACCGAGGACCACATGTCCACACCTGTGGCTTCAGCCACTTCGTGCACGCCTCCCCTGGGAGTCGCACGCCTCCTTACACTCTAACGTGCCGCTATACCGGACACCTCCAGCAACCCCACCTCCTGACTCCCCATCTCAGTAACAGGGCTGCTGCCCACCCATCACGCAAACCCGAACACTAGGCACCTCCCTCCCCTTTATCCAGTCTGGCCTGGTCTGGTCATCCCACCTCCTAAACCTCGCTCAAACAGTGGTCCTCTTTTTCCAGCCCTACAGACACTGTCAGGCTACTGAAACAGACCCTCTTCTCCCTCCAATCTAGCCTCCCACAGCCACCCAAATAATCTCAAATCCACATGAACTTGTCACTCCCCTCCTTAAGCCTCATTACTTGCTCCCTAGGATAGAATCCAGGCTCTGGAATGACAAGCAAGGCTCTGTAAAATCTGGCCCTTGCCAGCCTTTCCACCTCCTCCCACCCTGTGCATCAGCCTTGCCAAACTGTTGGTGATTTCCTCCATAAGTCAAGTGGTTTTGCTTCTCACTGCCAGGGACATCCTCCCTGGATGACTAATACCCCTTTATCTTTAAATAACTTTCTCCACCAGCTCCTAGAAACCTTTCCTAAACCTTCCCCTATTGGCTAATCTCTTTGTGTCCCAGTACAAACATCTGTCACAGTACCAGTAGCATTTTACAGTGTTTATTTCTTTATATATCTTCTCTATACCTTACTTGGTCATCTTTAGATCCTCAGCCCAGTGCCTGCCAAATAGCACACCCTTAAATAAATGTTGCTAATGACTTGCTTATGTGGGAAGACAAAAGCTGAAGAGAAATGTCATGGGAAGTTATAAACAGAAGGATAGAAAAGCAAAATATAACAAACAAATATGATGATGATGGAATCCACACCACCTCAGTCCTTCTGCTGGTAACATCTCTTGGTTCTTGAAGACTCATCTCAGAAGGCAGCTCCTTCAGGCAGCCTCTCTCGGTGACCCTAGACTAGGTCAGATGTCCCTCCTCTATGCTCTCATCTCTCCTTGAATGTGTCTTTCTTTGAATTTTTAATTCACTCATCTGTATGAGCAGACCGGATTGTCGCCTCTGTGCAGGTAGTCAGATCCAACAAAACAGTTGGGAGGTGCTGCTGAATCAGGCAAACTCAGCTTCCTGTCCCCAACTTGCCAGATAAATCACCCCTCCCCTGGAAAGTGTGAGTGAGGTCGCAAAAGAAGCCTGAAATGTTATTCAGCGAAAGTCTTTCCAATGTGGAAATATGAGCCTAAAGAAATGCAGGTTCCCCAATTTACCTTAATTTATCCTCTTCCCAGAGAGACCACCTACCCCAGTAACTTAGTAATAAGCACCCGCCCTGGTTCTCTTCATTCACCCATTCAACTAATTTCTTGAGCACCTACTATAAGCCAGACAAGTGTGCTATCTATCCCCTAGAGATATAGGACTCAGCAAACAAACTCTGTGTTCTCATGGAGTTTACGTGCTCGTGGAGTGAGACAGACAAACACAAACATGTATGATAATCTAATGTGTATACAATAAGCATACGAGTCAATAAGTGCTGAAAAAGAAAAATAAAGCAGAGCAGGAAATAGTGACAGGGAAGGGAGGTGGTACTGTTTTAGACATGGCAGTCAGGGAAGGCTTCTCCCTCAGGATGGCAGTTGAGCAAAGACCTAAATGACATGGGATGACAAATCAAGAGGAGCAGAGTGCTCCTTTGCAAGTGCAAAGGCCCTGAAGCAGGGCTATTTTTTGCACGTTCCCACCACTGACCCCCCCTTCCCCTCCCTTTCACCAGCGCCCCTCTATCTTATCTCACTTACTGCCTTGACTCTTGCTTCCCAAGCCTTACTCCCTGACTTTGGCCTCACTCACCCCCAGCTCAGTGGTCTCCCCTTCCCTCTCCATTCACCCCTGTGACTCAGTCTCCTCTTCCTTCTCCCCAAGGAGCCTGAAGCACGCCCTGTGGCCCTCACTTCCAGACCTGCACCGGGTCCTAGGCCAGTACCTTAGGGATGCTGCAGCGCTGAGTCCGGTGAGTGTGTTCCCTTTGCTACTCCCCACTCCCAGCCCTGCCTAGAGTTGGATCCTTGCCCCACTGCCCACTTTTCCAAGGCCCTTGCCCCACCAGCATACCATCCCTGGGCCCTGCCCCCAGCTAACGCTCCTTCCTGCACAGTCCAGGTCTTGCTCCCACCACACCTGCTCTAATCCAGACTCCTTTCCCCCCCATCTCTCCCAGCCCAAGGCTGCAGTCTCAGATGCCTTTGAGGAAGTAGAACCCAGCCCCCTTGAAATTCTACCCAAGTCCTCAGAGAAGACTCCAGTGGCCCTGTGTTCCTCCCAGGCCCAGATGGACTACCGAGGCTTGCCCCCTTCTTGCCTGGGGACCATGCCTCTGTGTGTGTGCCCACGCATGGCGGAGTCGGGGTCCTACTGCACCACTCACATCGCCAACCATTCCTACTTACCTCTAAGCTGCTGGCAGGCCCCTCTCTCCCCATACCCTGGACAGATCCAAACCCACCAGACTTCTTTTTTCAACCTCCCTACCCACCCCAACCCCACAACACAAACATCTCAGACCTCACGTCCATCCCCCTCTGTCTGTCCTCATAGTTGGGCTCCCCGACACTGACAACGTTTGGTACTGCTGCTGACATAAAGCCGGGTTCATGTATTTGACTAAGCTCCTCTAACTCGCCTGTTTTCTCTCTCCTCCCTAATGCTCGACTCCTTGAGAAGACATCTCCACATCCCCACTTCCCATTTGCTCTTCAGACCATTTCGGTTAGTTCTCCTGCTTTGCTAAGGAAACTACTCAGGCCCAGTTCACTGTAAACCCTGTAATTGCCATGTCTGGTAGGGTCTTGTCAATCCTCAATTTATTTGGTCTCTCTGGGCATGTCATGGTGACAGCTCATTTCTCCTTTAAATTCTCTCCTACCTTGGCTTCCATAATATCACCATCTCTCCTGGCTCTGAGTATATGAGTAGTTAAAAGCACAAACTCTTGAGTCAGAGCTGTGTTCAATTCCTCTCTTACCTACTTGCTAGCTGTGTAACCTTGGGCATGTAATTTAAAACCTTTGAGCCTTGATTTTCTCATCTATAACACAGAGATAATGACAGAGCCCCGCAGAGTTGTGAAGAGGACAATGAGCTGATCTAAGTAGAGCACAGTGCCTAGGACATAGTATGTTTATATCTGAACTATTGTAATTATTCCTTCCTGTTCTCTTATCCTGGCATCTCTCCCACCCCTTAATTATCATAGCTCCTCAAGAGTCCATTGCCTTTCCTGTAAGCTGGACATTCCAAAGTTCTTATCTCCAGCCTTGACTTCTACTACCATACCTGTGATGCTTTCTGCAAGGAATTGTTTATGTGTCTGCCTCCTACTACTAGATGTGAGCTCCTTGAGGGCCACAGCACCGTGATTTATTTGTCTCTTTCCCCCCAACACCTAGAGCAGTGCTTGGTGCAGGAGAGCAGGCCTTCCATAAATGTTTCTTTCTTTCTTTTTTTTTTTTTTGCCATAAATGTTTCTTAAATGAAGGAAATCTTTCTGGACAGTGCCACCTTGACCCCATGCTAAGCTCCCTCATTCTCTAAGCCATTCATTCGCAGCAGTAAATGTGCTTAGGCCAGGGGCACCTGGGTGGCTCAGTCAGTTAAATGTCTGCCTCTGGCTCAGGTCATGATCTCAGGGTCCTGGGATCAGGCTCCCTGCTCAGCGGGCAGTCTGCTTCTCCTTCTCCCTCTGCTCCTCACTCCCCCATCCATCCCCCCCCCTTGTTCTCTCTCTCAGATAAATAAATAAAATCTTTATTAAAAATGTGCTTAGTCCATTCTGGTTATGGATTCTCCTGATTCATTCAAACTTGAAAATAAATGGTATTTTTTTTTACAGGCTACTAAACATACCCACTATATTAATCAGGGTCTTGGCAGAAATAGATGGCACACTCAAACTGAGCATCTTGATGAGAGTCTAATAAAGGGTGTATTTATAAAAATGAGGCAGGACTTAGGAAAACCGTCAAGGAATAGTGCCGTACCCCAGGGCTAACAACAGCTGGGAACTGTACCACCTGTAGGGGGCAAGGGGCAAGGGGGGAGTGTGGTTACTAGATCTGGAGAGAGCCACTCTAAGAGAGGGCTGCCTGACTGGAGTGTGACCTTTGGTAGAGAGCCAACCTGTGACGCCATGGCAGAGAGAGAGCCAGGGGAATAAACAGCTCCGGCTCACTCTCCCTCCACCCATTGTTCTCCCCTGTATTAGTTTGCTAAAACTGCCGTAACAGACTACCACAAAGTTGGTGGCTTCAAGAACAGAAATGTATTGTCTCACAGTTCTGGAGGTTAGAAGTTCAAGGCATCATTAGGGTTGGCTCTTTCTGAGAGCTGTGAGGAAGAGTCTGTTCATGACTCTCCCCTAGCTTCTAGGGGTTCCCTGGCAAACGTGGTATTCCTTGGCTTGTAGAAGCATCACCCCCATCTCTGCCTTTATCTTCACATGGTGACATTCTCCTTGTGTGTATCTGTGTCCATGCTTCCCCATTTCATAAGGACACCAGTCTCCCTGGATTGAATGACCAAAATGACCTCACCCAAATGACCTCATCTTCACTAATTATATCTGCAATGATCTTATTTCCAAATAAGGTTCCACTCTGGGGTATTGGGGCTTAGTAATTCAACATATGAACTCAGAGGGAGTGGGGTGGACAAAGCTTAATCCATAGTATCCTCCAATTAGTAGAACCCAAACGGGAACCAAAGCCCAAGGGAATCCATTGATATAGGCCATATAAATCACCCTCACAAGGCACAGGGCATGGTAGAGACGGATATAAGAATATGTCTGAATGGGACAAATGGATGACATCCAGTATACTCATTTTCCTTCCCCTAGCCATGGTCAAGGCTCCAACTCTGGTCCTAGGGACTCAAGACTAGGATTGAGATCCACAGCACTGAACTTCTCACCTTTACACTCACACTTAGCCATCATATTCTGACCACTTTTACTTCCTAAGTCCATCTCCTCCATCTCCACTGAGCTATTGCTACAGCCTGCTAACTAATATCTCTGCCTCTAGTATCTCTCCTTAAACCCAACCTGTCTGCTGATTGATCTTCCTATCCATCCCACTCCATACCCCTAAATCTTTAGCTTCACTCTTCAGAACCTGATCTCTTCCTCGTCTAGTGTTTTCCTACCTTACGATTAAAAATGTTAACATAACACCAAGCACATGGTAAACACTCGATGTTTATTGAGCTATTTTTATTATCATCCCAACCGGGCTGTTCCACCACTTGGATGTCACCTGTATTTTATTCCTTTCATGCCCTTTGCTTTCCTAGACTTGAGTTCTAGTGGGAGTCCTCCCATCTAACCAGCTCTTTGGCCCTAATTATCCTTCTCTAAAGCCTTGTTCTCCATCCCCTCCACATGAGAAGCAGTGATCTTTCTTTCCTAACTGGAAAGCTCCCTGTGTTTTCTATCCCATTTCTTCCTGAGTAAGGTAACCCAAGCACCTTGCTCTCTCAGCCGGCCCTTGCCTGGCTTCTTCCATTTCCCTTGGCTCTTTTGCCTCCACCTTCAGACATGTATAGGCTCTTGGTACTGGTTCCCTCAAGCTCTCATGCACTGTCCCTGTCTCAATCCCAAATTTCTCACGCAAGTATCCCATGCTTGCTGCCTCTACAGGTTCCCCATCCCCAGCCTTCTTTCTCCAGCCCTTTCCTTGAGCACACACTCTTCTGATCCAGCTCTCTCCAAGGTTGCTGATGATTTATTATCAATGGCCAGACCTGACCTTTTCTGTCATCATTCTTCTTAACCATTTTGCATATCTTAGAATGCCTCCCTCTTTACGGTCCATGTCAGTATAATTTCCACTGACTTCTTTCATTCCTTTATTTTAAAATGTATGAAATCCCTGAGGTTTTCCCCCTATCCTTCTTTTTCTCTATAGTTACCCTTACTCCAGAGGTTTGCTGGCCACGTCTTGCATTTAGATATGTTTTGTTTGGCTCCTCTCTATGCAGAAACTTACTGATTCCACAATGTCTAGCAGATAAAATCCCAATTCCTTAGCTTCACATTGAATTCCAAGCTTCACCAGCTTGACTCTAGGCAACTTCTTCTACATTCTCTGAGGTTCAGGGTCTCCCTGTCTCCAGCCGCAAGTCATCCATGTAATTGGAAATTTAAAAAAAAAAAACATGAATACTTCAAAATCAAAATTAATAACAATATTAAGTTTGGGTTAAGAGCCCCATATTTTTCTCTGTCATCATGAGTGATCTAAGGTAATTATTAGAAACATGATTTTTCCAGCCTCTCTCTGGGACAGTAAACAGCATATGATTAGGAGTGAAGGTGTTAGCCAGATAGTTTGGCTCCGCTATTTATTTTTGGCTGTGTGCCTTTGGGCATGTTTCTAACCTTTTTTTGACCCAGTTTCTTTTTCCATAAAAAGGGAATAGAGTATCTGCCTTATGGGATCAAGGATTAAAGTCAATAATGTATGTAAACTTTTAAAACACGGTAGTTAGTGGATGGCCAATAAATGGTACCCATTATTATCTTTATTACTGCTGCTTCACCTCTAAGCATATTCACACAATTCATTCAGGTCCTTATGAGAGCACTGGATTGAATGGGAGTCAGACCTGGCTTCCCACCAACTGTGTGGCTCAGGCAATCCCTTCCCCTGGGCCTTGGCTTTCTCATCTGTAAAATATGGGTATGTTGCCAGGATGGGGAGGATGCACCGTGCTCAGATTAGACTAGTGCATCTTCAAAATTCTTGCCACCTCTAAAGCCCCATGGAGGTGAGCCACAATGGCTCTCAGAAGGCAGTCCCAATCTTATTATCTCCAGAAAGGCAGGTCTGGGTCCTGATCTTTCTTCTTAACCTTAAGGAATTCATGCCTTTCCCACCCTCATTTCCCCCCATTTGCAAAACAACAAAACAATTTTTTAAAAAAATTTTATTTATTTATTGGCCACAGAGAGAGGACAAGCAGGGGAGAGGTAGAAGGGGAGGGAGAGGCAGATTCCCCACTGAGCAGGGAGCCCGATGGGGGGGGGGCTCCATCCCAGGACCCTGGGGTCATGACCTGAGCCCAAGGCAGCCGCTCAACCCCACCGACTGAGCCACCCGGGCGCCCCACAAAACCACGTTTCACGCGTGCTGCTCCTTCCTAGCAGCGCTCCCGCAGGCACCAAGCTAACAAGCTAATAGCTCTGGCTTCTTTCCGCTCCTAAGCTGCCCAACCACTTCCCCGCCCCTGCCCACCTGCCGCCTCTCCCTCCTCTGAACGGCTCGGGGCTGTAGGGCCCTCCACCGAGTTCCCGCACTTCCGTAGCATCAATACCACCCACGGGCCGGCCTCTAGTGCGAAGGGCGGACGCGGGGAAGGAATGAATGGAAGCGGCTCGGGAGGGCGCAGGCCCGCCCCCGCCCCGCCCCCAGGCCCCCAGGCCCCGCCCCTCTCGCCTTCAGACTCGGGGCCGCCGGGGACCAGCCTTAACCCTCTCGCCCTTCGAATCACGCTCCGCGGCTGGATTCTCGTGAGATCTGCGGCTCGCACCGGAAGCCCCGCCCCCCGTGCCGTCAAAGGCCAATGGGCGAAGGCGACGGTTGCGACGGTTGGGTTTTGAAGGAGCCAATGAGTGCTCGGAGCGGAGAGTTTAAGAAGCGCAGGCCGGCGCGGTGGAGGCCGGTCGGCGATTGGAGCCCGCTGGGAGCTGCAGGTGGGAGGCCGTCGGGGGGCGCGGCGGGGCGCGGCCGGGGTGGCCCGGGCTGAGCGCTGTCGCGTCTTCCCCCAGGACTCGGCGGGCACCGCGTCCATGGCGCAGTTCGTGTTCGAGAGCGACCTGCACTCGCTGCTGCAGCTGGACGCGCCCATCCCCAATGCGCCCCCCGCGCGCTGGCAGCGCAAGGCCAGGGAGGCCGCGGGCCCGGCGCCCTCGCCCATGCGGGCGGCCAACCGGTCCCACAGCGCCGGCAGGACCCCCGGCCGGACTCCGGGTCAGTGGGGTGCTGCGGGCCGCGGGGGAGGGAGGCGGGCCGGCCGACAGCGCCCCAGGAGCCTGCTCCCACTCTCGGCCTCCCTCTCCCCGCGCCAGGCAAGTCCAGCTCCAAGGCTCAGACCACTCCCAGCAAACCCGGCGGGGACCGCTACATCCCCCATCGCAGTGCTTCCCAGATGGAGGTGGCCAGTTTCCTCCTGAGCAAGGAAAACCAGCCTGAAGAGAGCCACACGCCCACCAAGAAGGTACGTGATCCAGAGGGGCTTGGAGCCCAACACCAGCCCATGCACCCTGGACCATGCATCCTGCCTCATGCCCACCCTGTGTGCCAGGAACATCAGAAAGCCTGGGCTCTGAACCTGAACGGTTTTGACGTGGAGGAAGCCAAGATCCTGCGGCTCAGTGGGAAACCACAGAACGCCCCAGAGGGTAAGACCTGAAGTTTTTGGTTCCGGGAGGGAGGTGTCAGCACGACCCTTAGTCTGCTCCTCCCACCTAAGACTGTGGCGAGGGCAGGTGTTGATCTGACCTTCCAGGCTAGGGGCCGTGGGAGGAGCCCGTTTTCCCACTGTGTGGGCCCGCTGGGTTGCCACAGGTTACCAGAACAGACTGAAAGTGCTGTACAGCCAGAAGGCCACGCCTGGCTCCACCCGGAAGACCTGCCGTTACATTCCCTCCCTGCCAGACCGAATCCTGGATGCCCCTGAAATCCGGAATGACTACTGTGAGTGCAGCCTTCCCCTTGCCCATTCATTGGATGGAGGGAGAGAGCCTGGGCACCGGGCACCAGGCACGTGGGGAAGCTCATGCTCCCCATCCCCCTTCCCTGCTCTGGCAGACCTGAACCTTGTGGACTGGAGCTCTGGGAATGTGCTGGCTGTGGCATTGGACAACAGTGTGTACTTGTGGAGTGCTAGCTCCGGTGACATCTTGCAGCTGCTGCAGATGGAGCAGCCTGGGGAGTACATATCTTCTGTGGCCTGGATTAAGGAGGGCAACTACCTGGCTGTGGGCACCAGCAGTGCTGAGGTGCAGGTGAGACCCGTCCCTGTGCCGCAGGCCTGTGGTGCACAGACCCAGGGGGCTTGTCCGGCAGGAGCGGGGTGGGGCACCAGTGGCAAGTCACAGTGTGTGATCCTAGCAGCCTTCTCTCTCCAGCTGTGGGACGTGCAGCAGCAGAAGCGGCTTCGAAACATGACTGGTCATTCTGCCCGAGTGAGCTCCCTGTGCTGGAACAGCTATATCTTGTCCAGGTGTGTGGTTTTAGCTGGTCTGTTGCAAAACCTGTCTGATTTTTGCCAGCTCTCCCCAGAGATGCACCTGTGAACTGAAGCAACTCAGTCCTGCTGGCAGTGTGTGGCACTGCCGCTGACCCTCGTTCCGTTCCCTTCCCTCAGTGGCTCACGTTCTGGCCACATCCATCACCATGATGTTCGGGTCGCAGAACACCATGTGGCCACACTGAGTGGCCACAGCCAGGAGGTGTGTGGACTGCGCTGGGCCCCAGATGGACGACATTTGGCCAGCGGTGGCAACGATAACTTGGTCAATGTGTGGCCTAGTGCTCCTGGAGAGGGTGGCTGGGTCCCCCTGCAGACATTCACCCAGCACCAAGGGGCAGTCAAGGTGAGAGTGGGGCTGGGTTGGGTCCTCTGCAGACCCTCACCCGGAACCTGGGAGACGGGATGGTAGTTTTGGACAGAATTACCCTGTGACCCCAGTAGCTCCTTGTCTAGCCCCTGTACCTGCTGATTCCACCTTTATCCTACCTAGGCTGTAGCTTGGTGTCCGTGGCAGTCCAATGTCCTGGCAACTGGAGGGGGCACCAGTGACCGACACATTCGCATCTGGAATGTCTGCTCTGGGGCCTGCCTGAGTGCCGTGGATGCTCAATCCCAGGTAGTCTTTACCTAGCCTCTCCCTTCCAGAAGCAGTCTTACTCTGTTTAGTCTTCCTTGGGCAACTGTCCCCGCTAGTGGCTTCGCCGATTCTATACCCTGATGATTTCCAGAATTGTAACTTCACTCTCGCTCAAGAGGTCAGGACCGTACTGATGTGTGCGGCTTAACTCCAACCTCAGTCCTATAGGTGGCAATGCCCTAATATGTCCTAAATTAAGTTTGTCACTTCTTGTCTCTCTGAAATGTGTTCCTCTTATATTGTTTGAGAGGGATAGAACCTACTCAGGAATCTGCAAGACTTCCTAGAATCTTTCATCGTCTCTTCATCTAGTCGCCGAAACATAGCATTTTTACCTCAGGATCATTCACATGTTTCCCCTCCACTCGAGGTCACTCTTCTTCCCAGTGGAGGCCCATTTCAAGAACTGTGGTGGTTCGGGTCCGAGTCTGGCACCTGGCGGGGCCCCTGATATTCCAGTGGACTTAGGTCTCATTTGGATAGTGTTGCTCTATGTTGTGCCCTCACCTCAACCCCTCTCCACAGGTGTGCTCCATCCTCTGGTCTCCCCACTACAAGGAGCTCATCTCTGGCCATGGCTTCGCCCAGAACCAGTTGGTTATTTGGAAATACCCAACCATGGCCAAGGTGGCTGAGCTTAAAGGTAGGTGCTAAGCGACAAGCCAGACACAGAAGGCTACATGTTGCATGTGGCTGATCACATGAAATGTCCAAAGAATGCAAAGAAAGAAAACAGATTGATGGTTGCTGGGGCTGGGGGGTGGGGGTGGGGTGCGGCGAGAAGGTGAGAAGGTGAGGAGAGACTTTCTTTAGGGAGTGATGAAAACATTGTGCAATTAGTGTCGTGATGGGGTTGCACAACTTTGTGAATATACTAAAAACCAACCAATTGTGTACTCTAAAGGGAAGAATTCTGTGGTATGTGAATGGTCTCAGAGGTGTTCTAAAAAACAAAAGGAATGTGGCCCTCCACACTGGCGGCTGGAGGTGTGTCTATACTCCCATGCACTGCTCTCATTTGTTCCCTCCTCGTGCCTCAGGTCACACTGCCCGGGTCCTCAGCCTGACCATGAGCCCAGACGGGGCCACTGTGGCCTCAGCAGCCGCAGATGAGACCCTGCGGCTATGGCGCTGCTTTGAGTTGGATCCTGCACGGCGGCGGGAGCGGGAGAAGGCCAGCGCGGCCAAGAGCAGCCTCATCCACCAAGGCATCCGTTGAGGACCAACTCATTACCCCAGTTTTTTGTTTTTGTTTCTTTTTTATTTTTCTAATAAAGTCATGTCTCCCTCTCTTCTCCTCGCATGAGCTCTGTCCAAGCAGCCTTCCCCAGAGCTCATGTCCACTGTCCTCAGAGAGCCAGAACCATCCCTCCTGTTTGCAGACAGGGCTGGCACCTCTTCATTCACACATGTACACACGCAGCCTGGGTGGTTTCCTCTGTCACTTTTAATGAAGACCTAAGTGAGTGAGCAGCCTCCACAGGCTGTAGTCCCAGGCCCCCCACCCACTCTGACCTTTGGTCAAGAAGCTTCTGCTTCAGTGTGGGCTAGAGAAGGAGGGGTCATGGGTCCAGAGTGACAGATTATTGCTGACCTCTTCAGTGTGAGGAAAAAGGCCATAAGACCCTGGTGGGGGCCAGTCCTGAGTGTTCCCCTCCCAAGTTTAAGGCCTGGAGGGGAAGATGAGTGTCCAGCCCTTGAGCCCCCGGCTCTGGAGTGGCAGAGGGCGGTGCGGCCGTGTCCTCGGAGCTGGCCGGGAGAAGCGGGTGAGCGACGGAAGCCATGGTCCCTGTGTGCCAGCTGTGGGGAGGGGAGGGCCTGTCCCCTGCTCAGTCCTGACCACACAGGGCCCTGGTCACAGGTCACCGGTGTAGGCGGGGAGGACGTCAGATGCTGCCCAAGGTGCAGTCCTGAGGCACTTAGGTGGGCACCTAGCTAGGCCACGTTTCTCAGTTGGCCTTGACTTTGGCGGTACCTGGAGCTCCGTTTTGCTGAAGTACACGGGGCAGCCGCTTGCCTTTGGTATAGGAGTGATACCAGAAGTTGGAGAAGAGGACAAAGAAGATGGTGCCGTACATCCAGATGAGGTGGATGATGACTGGGTACTGGTAGTCACAGCTAGGCATGAAGTAGTACTGGGAGATGTGCAGCGACACCAGCACGAACTGGATCTAGAAGGGAGAAGGCCAGGGTCAGATGAACAGCCGCGGAGTAGGGAAAGGCTGAATGCGGAGGCCTGGGGTCAAAGGGGAGGCAGGATGAATAAAGGGGGGCGGGTGGCTCCGGCTGGGCCCCTCACCAGCTGGATGGCTGTCATGTGCTTTTTCCACCACAGGTAGGGCTGAGCCACAGGGCCCAGGGCGGACAACCCGTAGTACAGGTACATGACGACATGCACCGAGGAGTTGATCATGGCATGGAAAGAGCCCATTCCTCCTGTCGGGACAAGGAGCGGGGTCAGGAGAGGTGAGCGGCTGGTCCTCAGTGCCTGCCCCTCTCCCCGCCCCCGCACCGTGGCCTTCACCACTCACCCGGAGCAATCTTTACTCCCCACCACCAGCTCCAGGGAAGCACGGAGTGGTGGAAGACATGGAGGAAGGTCACCTGTCCATCTTTTTTCCGGAGAATAAAGATCACCTAAGAAGAGTGGGGAAATGGGTTTCAGAGCCAGGGCCGCCGCTTTCTCCCCACCAGGTCCTCGTATCTCCTATAACCACTCACTGTGTCCATCAGCTCGATGAACTTGGAGAAGAGGAAGAGCCAGGCCACTCGAACCATCTGCAAGAGGTCAGACAGCCTTAGGACCCCCACACTACTCCAGAAACGTCTCAGAACTGGCCCATGAGCCCAGGTCACACCCAAACTGCTATCCCCAGGGTGCTTATAACCTAGCACCAGTACCCCCCCACCCCCACCCCGCGCGCTTACCCTTAGTGCCTCCGGGCTGTTGGAATAGTCTACAGGATCGCAGCGCCAGGTGTAGGTACTCAACCAGCCAGACATCAAGAACTAGGAAGGGGTGTGGATTAGACCACCAGAGTTCCACCCCGCCCAGTCCCTCTGGCTATCCAGCTAAAGCAATGGATCTGAGCCTCTCTGGAAAGGAGATGTCATGCTCTGACCTGACCTCAAAGCCTGCCCCTCATCCTGCCAGCAGAAATTAAAACCTGGGCATCCCAGGGGCCCACCTCATAGACAATGTAGAGGGAGAGCGCCACCAGTGAGAAGTTGTAGACAATCATGAAGCCCCGGAGCTGGAAGGGCTTCCGATTGGCCATGATGCGCGGCCCAAGTGAGAGAACGAAGTACACGTAGGTCAGGAGGATGGAGGTCATTAGCAGGGGGGACCCCATCAGAGGGTAGCCCTGGAGCCGAGGATCTGTGAATAAGGGTCCAGGAGTCAGGAGGAGTCACGGGATCCGAAGGGGCCCCACCAGGTGGACAGGGGTGGGGTCGGGTCACGGAGGGTCAGGGAGTCCCTAGGGACTCTCCACTAAGAGACAGCCCCATATCCAGGGATCCTGGGGCAGGAGGGAGGACAGCAGCTTACCTGCATGCTTCATCATCTCCTGGTACAAGTTCACGATCACCTCCATCCTGGCTACGGACTCTGGGGAGGTGAGGGCGGTGGGTGTCAGGGCTGGGTGCCTCCATCCCACCCCTGACCCCCCGACAGGACACAGACCAGACCAGACAACTCCTGATACCTCCGTGCAGAAAGGCCAGAAGAGTGAGGGAAGGAATTGCTGGGGGACAGGGGTAGGAGGCAGCTTCCCGCCCCTCTGCCACCGCCCCTCTGCCACCGAGATTCTTCCCACCGACCTCACTCCCCCTCTCCCTCCACAGGAGCTCTCCGTTGCCGCGCTCTCCGGAGAAGCTCACCTTTCCTCTCCAGAGTGACTGCCTCTGCCTTGCCCGCCAGTCTCCCACTTCTCCAGCTCTGGGTCTTTTTTCTCCCCGGGGGATCCTCCCAATCCACTTTCGGGATGCTCAGCTCCCGGGACCATCCCCCCCCATACTCCCTCCTCTCCTCGGCCCTCCTGGGCCCTCACCTCCCGTGACTCTGTCTCCGCTCTCCGCTCCCTGTTCCCCTCCTCTCCGGCACTCCCCTCCAGCCCTTCCTCTCCGGAGCCTGGCCCTTTGAGACTCCTGCCCCGGCGGCTCCACCTGTCTGACTAGATCTGGGAGCGCCCCGCCCTCCACCCGCCCCCGCTGCACTGCGCATGGGGTGGAGGGTGGGTCCAGGCCACAGGTCAGGGCCTGGAGGAGCAGGACCCACCAGGATTGGGAAAGCCAAGAGGAAAGCATGGGACTCACCACCCACCCACCCACCCCGGATGGCCAGATGAGCTAAGGCTCTAGCTTAGTTTTGAGCCAGAAACCTCCAGCCCAGCCCTAGCCTTGGCCCAAAGAGAGCTGTTGAAAACCCATACCCAGCATCCTCTCCTGATCTAGCCATAAATTCTCGGTTTGCCCTGCTTCGGAATGGGTACGGTCACCCTTCTCTCCCTGGGAGGGGCAGGGAAGCCAGTGGCATGTGAGGAGGTGGGTGAGTGGAGGAGGTCTCAGGAATCTTCCCCTCCCTTAGGGAGGGTCCTAATGAACTAGGCCCTCTCCCCCTCAGAACCCGAAGGAATGTCGGGGGAGGGCACACTGGGACACAAAAGCCTGGGCCCAGACCCAGGGGGGCCAGGGATGCCGAGGCTGTCCCAGAGGGACAAGGCCCTCCCCTCACGGCCAGGGCAGGAGATGCTCTGCGAGCTGCCTGCACCCAGGTGTGCCCGGTTCCCTCTATCAAGAGAACAAGCCGTGCAGGCGCTTAGTGAAGAATGTCCGCTTCACCTCCTGACACATCCACCCAGGCCATCGGCGTGCCCCTCGCACACTCAGCTGGGCACACATCTCACAGGTGTTCCCCCCGCCTCCGGGTGGACTCCCAACCACACCCCGCCACGGTCGGTCCCCGAGCCCTCCCTCCCACACAGCTCTCCCCACCACCACCGACAGGCTGACCCGTGGTGAGCAGGAGCACACAGGGGTTCACGGACACGCGGAGCCCACACACTGTCCTCTGACACACCACCCAAACAAGCCTCCGTGGACTCTGACACGCACAGTTTCTGATGCTCAGACCCACTCCTGACTCCACTCACGCAGGCAACACGCCCCAAACACTCACACGGCCTCCTTCGCTGGTCCTGCGTTACCATGTGCAAGTGTTCATGCTCACACCCTCGGGCCTACACGCAGATTTACTCACACGTACGTCAGTCACAGATCGGTGTGGTCACAGACATAAGCTCAAACACCGCACTTAGAGGTGAGGGAACATAAAATCACCCACACCACATTGAGACACACCTGCCTTTGGTCATGCACGCAGATCTCTCCCACGGATGACAATCCCCATTCATTCATTCACCGTCCGATCTCGCGGGTCGCCTCTTCCGTGGCGGGGCCTACCTGGCACAGGCCTGTGCTCGCACACGCACACACAGTTCCTCCCTGACCCGCGAGCCTGCCAGCTGGTTATCTCTCCCGCTCTCTAAACCACCTCCTCCAGTTCGCCCTCCACAGACACTCATGCACCCTGGAGGTCAGGAGCGGCTCGAGGCTCTGGAAATGACCTGTCCCCAAGCTTGAGGAGCGCCGGGTGTGTCCCAGGAGGGGAACCAGGCGGGTGCTCCCTTGAAGACGGATGGAAGGGGAAAAGGAGACAGGCAGGGGCCGGGGGAGGGGAAAGAGGAGGAGAAGAGCCCGAGCGAGGAGAGGGAGGGGGAGAGGGAGGGTAGGAGGCGCAGAGGGAGGGTGGGGAGGTGGTGAGAGAAGGCCTAGGTTTGAGCAAATAGGGGCCGGGAGCAGAGGGAGGCGGCCGGCCAGGCCCGCCCCGGAGAGCTGGGACCTCCCACCCACGGTCCCAGGAACCGCCTCGCCCACGGGCAGGGCAGGGCAGGGCGGGCAGGGCGCCCGGGCACGTGGACGGCCCGCGCGTGGAAGGGCCGCACTCACCAGCGGGGGGCCGGGCGGGCAGCAGCGGCGGGCTCGGAGGGAGCAGGGCCACACAGAAGTCCCCAGGGCCGGCCTGCCTGCCACTTCCTCATCTGCTGGGCCGACTTTCTGTCACCAGAGGGGGACGGGGCGGGCCGGGCGGGGGGCGCCTGCTGATTGGCCCCGACTCGGCTCGGCCCGAGGGGCGGGCGCAGGGGCGGGCCGCCAGATTCCGGGGCAGGAAGCACGCCCAGCGCGGGCTCCCCACCCCTTCCCTCGGCATCCCGCGGCCCGCCCCCCGCCCGCCCGAGGTGCACCTTGCTCGCGCCGGGCGCTCCGGGGACAGTCCACCAACGCGCCCCACGCGCCCTGATGGGCCCTGCCCTCCGGGGCGCCCCCTCCAGGGGGTGGGGGCGGAGGCAGCACGTGTGTGCCGGGGCAGGGCTGGGGGAGCAGCTGCTGGCCGGGAAGCCTTCCCTGCTGAGCCCTAGCATTAGGAACTGCTAGGAGGGCTCCGCAGTGGGAGAGTCCGAGTGGCCCGAGGCAGGAACAGTGAGTCACTGGCTAAACTGGCCTTGAAGGCAGTGAAAGGAAAAAAAGGCAAGTGGAGCCAACTGTGGCTGAATGCGGGAGGGAGGGCTTGAAGGCCAAGCCGGGCAGTTCGGTTTTATTCTGGAAGCATAGGAGAAACAGCGAAGGTTTCCGAGGAGGCTACACAGTCAGGCGTGTGTCATCAAATATTTATTGACCACCTACCGTGTGCAAGAGTGTGGTAAGTGCTAGTGACACATCGGTGAGCGAGGCAGATGCTGTCCCGGCATGGGGTTTACCACCCAGCTGAGTCACTTCACTCTGGCAGCCAGGGTGATGAGGTTATTGAGGCAGGCCAGGTGAGAGCTAACAGCCTGACCTACGGAGGTTTGGAGACTGATGGGATGAGAGTAGCGGAACCAGAGACGTCCCCAACACAGGTGGACTCGTTCTCTCTACATATACTTAGCTGTCTACCCGGCTTCCTGCGCTCTCCCCTCTCAGCTCCACACACTCACCCACGAGACTGAACTGGGGTGAGGACCCCGTTTTAGCGGAATGAAATCTCTATCTCCAGGAGCTCCTGGGGTGGTGCTGTGCATATAAGTGACCCAATAACTGCTTGTCAGACTGGATGGTGTAAATGTGGACAGGAAGGGAATTCAGAAGAGACAGTGGTTTGGGAAAAACATGTTCATAAATGGTGGGCTGGAGCCATGTGGGAGTTCAATCTTAGAGGTAAGAGGCCAGAGCCAAGGTAGAACTATGATCCAGCCCATCAGTAGCTACCCTTGAAAGGGCGGAAGAATTCAAAGGCTCAAATTTCATGGCGTTTTATAACACTAAGGCTTCCCTGATCTCGCCTTGAGCCTGCGTTATTCTCCTGGGCCACATCCTGTTGCCCAAGGATGTCTGCATCTTTCACACACCCCCACCCCTCTAAGCCTTGTCCCCTGGCTCAATACAAGGTACAGCTCTCCCAGGTAGTAAATCACCTCCCTCCGCTCCCGCAATCCTACAGCAAAGAAATAATCTGCAACCTCCTCCACTCTAAGTTCCACTCAGTCCTGTTAGTGGTCTCCGTATCTCTTGCACCGGGCCCACTGTCTGGTTCATTTGATCCTTTGTAATATTTGTGGAGTGAATATTAGAATAAGTGAGACTGTGAGAAAGCCAAGAGAGGTCGTGGGACCCAGAGTCAGGTGGGGAAGACAGAATTCGGAAGGCTTTTTACTCCCCCCGGGAGTGGCAGTCTCCCTTGAGTCAATATTTGTTGAAAGCCTAATGGGGTCCAAGTATACTTTGGTGGCTTTGGGGTCACCCCTGCCTCCAGAGGCCTGAGTTTTAAGTTTTCTACTGAGGACCTGCATGACCTTCTGCAAGTCGCTGAATCTCTATAAAACAGGAACAGTGCCTCCCTCATTGTCAAGAGTGGAGGAGCTAGCCCGCATACAGCGCCTTAGCACTGCTTCTGTGCTCGACACTTCACAGACACGGTGGGAAGCAGCCCGTACGTCAAGAACCTACCACTCCTGATAACCAATGTACCAGTCTTGTGTGTGGATTCATGAGCATCGGTTTAACAAATATTTCCTAAGTGCTTACTGTGTACGCACAGTGCCCCAAGAGTACTGCCAAGAGGTTCTGGATTCAGCATCCATCTAGAGACAAGTCAGACACGAACGAAGCAGACTACTGGAGATGATGTGTGTGCAGTCCCACAGGTCAAGTACAGTAGAGGCAGACTTCAACTACCCATTTATTCACCTGGGACATGGTGGTCAATGTTGACTACATGAATGAACAGGCGCCAAGACTCCCTTCGCTCAGTTCCAAGCCTAGTCCCGGGAGACACTGTCTTCCAACATCTGATAGATGTCACATGGCCCCAAGTCCTACAAATGGCATCTCCAGAGCCCTCGGTTTCCTGCAAAACACTTGCAGTCTAGAGGAGAAGACAGACGTCTAGATGACCAATCATAGTAGCAGGTGGCGAGTGTTCCCACAGAGATAAACAGAGGGTTATGAAAGCGCTGAGGAGGAGCACCTTACCCCAGGGTGGGGGTGAGTTCTTGATGGCTTTGTAGAAAGGACACCTAAGGTGAACATTGAAGGGCACTTTCTAGAAAGCAGGGAAACACAGGGGCAGAGGCAGGCACATGTGTGAAGGCACAGAAGCAAGAGATGTGGTGGGTTTGGGGAGCTCTAGGTAGTTCAGTGCAGCTCCAGCTCAGAGGGCAGAGAGGTCAGGGCAGGAGACACAGGCAGGAATCAGTTTATACAGAGCCTTACATGCCACGGTAAAAAGTTTGGATTCTGTTCTGTTTATGTTTTCAGCCATGGCTGCATGCAATCACCTGGGGAGCTTTTAAAATATCGATGTCTGGCTCTCACCTTCAGATTGACTCTAATGGCTGTTTTTAACGGGAAGAGGCTTGAACATGTTTATGGGCTGTGCGGAAGGAGACAATGGGATCCAGCTTACAGAGGGAGGGATTGGCCTCTGGCTAAGGAGACCTCACAGACTGACTTGTATGGGAAAGGGTAAATCAGTCAGGTGACTGGGAGAGGAGCTCATTTGGGGCCTGCAGAGAAGCTGGGTGGAAGGGACAGGTTGATCAACTAGAGAGACTGAAGGGGTCCAGGAACTCAGTCCTGATAAGCTGGAGAGTGGGGGTTAAGGGAAGAATGCCCAGTCCAACAGCTAAAATTCCCCCCTCCTTCATGGAACCTTCCTGACCGGCTGGAAGGGAGGTGACTCTCCTTTAGGGTCCTACCCTGTCTGACGCCCAACTCGTTCACTACTCTCTCAGGGGCCCTGCTCTATCCTCATTCCCCGGAAGATAAATCACTGATGTACTTTCTGCAAGGGTTTGGTCTGAAAACCACCATCCACGTGAAGGCCAACAACTCCATTCCCATGATGATCGGAGGCTTGACATGTTTCAGCAGAAACATTTAAAGGAAATGGGATCAAAGAAGCGGGCATGGCAATGAGGAACAAGTGGAAAAAGGCAGGCCTGTGTGTGCATGAGCAGGTGGGCAAATGGGGAGCAGTGGAGGGGCTGCGGCATGGGAGACGTGGGGAATTGGCTACAAATGACAGGAACTGAGGGTCTAGGCTAGCGGACACCAGAGTGGCAGGTAGAGATGGAAGCAGTCTCCAGGGGCTGTGTCAGGCTTCTCCCTTCCCCATCCTGTAAAGGACAAAGGGCACTTTCTACCCAGTCATCACACAGGAGTTGGGGGGAGGGCTGAGTCTGTGAGGACAGGGGAGTGAAGAGAGGATGAAGGGTCAGTTAATCACTCTGCATATCCCTGGGCCTTTGCCAGCTAGAGGGTGTCCTCCGCCTGAGGCTGAGACCTTTGCTGAAGGAACCCGAGCTGGAAAGATACCAGAGGGCAGGAGGGAGAGACTGTGTGCAAACACCCATCATGTCTGTCCCTGGGCAGCTAATGCCTACACGCTGTGGGCAGCAGTCAGTGTTCACTGAACAGAACTAAAGAAACTCCAGTACGGGGAGAGGGCTCTGAGAGGCCCTGCAGAAAAAGCTGTGGAGAGAGAAAAGGGAAGATTTTAGGTTCGGGACAAACCAGGAGAGGTCATCAAGATGAGGGAAAGAGAGCCGGATCTGGAGGGTGTGTTGAGAAGGGCCAAAGGGGAAAAAGAGAAAGTGTAGCTTATTGTTCAATACTTTCTCTGGCAAGAAAGGGGCCAGCTGCTTTCCACACACTCCTCAGGTTCGGTTCTATACGGTTAACTACTATTAGCACTGCTTCGTGGACGTAAAGAGTGGAATCAGAAACGGTGATGGAGGGACACCTGGGTGGCTCAGTGGTTGAGTGTCTGCCTTCAGCTCAGGTTGTGATCCTGGGGTCCTGGGATTGAATTCTACATCGGGCTGCCGGCAGGGAGCCTGCTTCTCCCTCTGCCTGTGTCTCTGTCTCTGTCTGTCATGAATAAATAAAGTCTTTTTTAAAAAAAGGTGATGGAATTCTCTCAAGGTCACGTGGCAAGTAAGGCAGCAGGAACAGTGTTCCAGGCTGAGGAAAGAGTGTGGACAAAGGGATGGAAGGAGACAAGCACAGCACAGGTGTAGGGAACTGGTACATCTGATTCTGCTTGGCCAAAGGGTACGCGGAATAAGAGGCCTTCATGTGCAAGAAGGTGAAAACGTAGGCTGGCCCCAAATCCTGAAGTAGTCTGAATGAAAGAATGAGGAGTTTTGTTTGTATTGGGGTGTCCCTAAGAATTTTTAAGAAAGAGGTTGGTATGACCCCCATTATCTCTTACAAAGACAAACCTGGGGACA